GATAAACTTCATAGGACTGCAATCTAAATTTCAATGCCAGATCCAATTTAGATGGTCCTTCAAGGGATAGAATTATTTTCAGTTAATGATTGCCCAACTTACTTTACTTGAGGTAGAAATCTGAGCAGGAGACAAGGAGTTCAGGCTCTGACAAGCTAAGACTTGAAATCCTGTGCAGTTTGAAGTTGTAAAAACAATTTTACCCTGTATCTACTTTCCCCCTCCAGGGTCTTTTGCTTTCCCGCCCCTTGGCTCTTTCACCAGAAATGAAGAAAGGAAGAGGGTGGAAGAGGTGTCGTGATTTGTATGGGCACGTCGCGATGTCTACATTCTCCTCACTACAAGGCAAGGGTGTACTTTCACCTCCATGCCTGGCTCAGAGCCTAGAGTTACTCCGTCATTTTTTTCAATGCGTTTGGAAGTTTTATCCAAAGATCCTTTTGACAATGATGGGGATCACCTGGACCCCTCAAATGCATCTGTCTCTGGTGTTGCTTTCAAAATATCCTTTAAATAATTAAGTGACCAAGAGGATACAAGAGCAGATCCATGATAAATAACCTGGTATGATAAATAACCTGGCTATACTATCTTATTTGAAAAGTATTGACTTATCACATTAATTTTTGAACATCTATATCAGTAATGTGAACAATGCCCAAAACTATGGGACTCACGGACGTGTTTTAATGGCAGTTTTGAGTAAGGACTTCCATTGTTTTTACCTTTTATACCACACCATTCACATTTTTTCAAATAATGAGAATGCATTAATCTATATAATGATAATGATGCAAAACAATCAATGAAAAAAGAATATATATAAAGAGTCTAAAAAGAAACTAAATCTTCCACTATAAACTCTAGATTATAGACAGAACTCAATGATTTAAGGCCTCCCTGGTGGTGCTTGGGGCAAGCTCTCACCAGTGTGGCCTGAGTTCGATCCCCAGTCAAGAGATGACCCACATGGCACAGCAGACCTCTCCTGTCTCACCCACTGCTCCCCTCAGCAGTATATTTCAGGTGATCTGCCTGTTCTGCTCCCTTCTCTGTCCCTGGTGACTCCTCTCACTTCTGCACTGCTGACCTACACCCCCGTTCTTCTATTCATAAATAAAAATTAAAAAAAAAACTCAGTGATTTGATATATAATTTTCTGCCTAAAGAAGCTACTACTGAGTATCTACTTACCTGAGAATAGGTGCTATGAGAACTAAGTCAATTATTACTTCTCAGTAAGACCAAAAGGAGATACGGTCTTTCATAAAATTAAAATTAAACTCATAGAGAATTTAGTTCTCAGACTGTTGTGATGGACAGATAATGCATATATCAGAAATTCCAGTATCAGGAATCAACAAGTAAATATTAAATGAGTGAGTTTATTTCACTCCTTTGTGCTATCCCTGGCCTGCAGACAAAGTTGGGGAGAAATTACAAAAGGAAGGCAAAGTATCACTAAATTAAGCAAAAGGTATGTTGTAATTTTTCATAGAGCCATTTAGGCAGCAAAGGAAAAGAAAATTTAAACACAAAGACAGCCAGGTGCACCTTGAACACAGGACATTTACAAGTGGGTTGGGTCGTCTCACTGAGAGTCCAGAGAGGTTTGGCTCCAGGGAGGCTTTCAGCGTGGGCAAAAGACACTGGCAAAGCAGGTGGGAAAATTCACCCCTTTCCCTTCTTAGTGGGAAATTCACCTAAGGCCTTCGCCTTTAAGTGTATGTTACAGACACCAAAAACATCAATTAATTCAAACTTGTCCATCTTGGGGAGCTGAGAACAGAAACTACACCTCTATCATCACCAAATTAGCTACTGACTGATTAGCATGCCAATTAAAATTACTAAAAACAAACACAAAACCAACAGTTGAGATTTTTATAGCAGACCCTAGAGGCTAATGAGCTCAGTGGGTTAATCGGCTAGAAAGCTTATTCTAAACAGCAACGTTACCACATTAGAGTGACACACTGCTGCTCCTTGAAAACCATGTCCTTAAAAATATATATCATTGAGAAACATCTGCTTGATGGTATTACAGTTTCTTGGGGAAATACCAGGTTATTTTCTTTTCTTGCGACTTATGAATCACAGGCATGTTAAGTTCTTGAACCTCTGATTTCCATACACCTCATCCATGTCTTGAGGCTTCCGAGGGCTCTCCAGACCCCACAGTGGTGTCTGGGGGTACCCCCACTCAGCCGCAGGTAATTACTTCCTCTCACAAACCCTCTACACTTTAAGCTTCTGCTCCTACCCACTTGTCCTTTGTACCTCTTCGAGTGATCATTAGTTCTCCTTGAAGAATTTTCTTTTTGCTTTTTAACCTAGTAATAATGCAAATGTACTGTGTATAGTAATATTTACTGAATAAAGAATGAATCCCAAGACTCAGGCGTTCATCATGGTATATACTTTTCCTTCTGCACTCTCAAGATCCATCCACGAGGTCTGTATAGAGCTCACCTCGCCTTTTTGCAGATGAATAGAACACATTAGTGAGAAGGACTGCATTGCTGGCATTAATTCTGCACCCCTTTTCCTGCGTCTAAGCCTCTGACATGCTCTGTCACTTGGCCTCCTGTCCCACTAAAGGGACTGGATCTATTTCCCTAACCCGTTCTATCTGGATTGGGTCACATGACTTGCTTCACCCAAAAGAATGGGCAGAGTGATATTCATGGAAGTCAGTCACTTAGATCTGAAAAGACCTCTCGAGTTTATTCTTGCTCTCTTACATTTCACCCATCTCCACAAGAACATGCCCTGCTAAGGCACTGGTCCAGGGATGATTAGAAACAGGTATAACAGAGTCTGTGGGCCTGCAGGAAGGGGCAGAGCTTCCCAGCCAAGCCCAGCCTAGATCAGCTGAACCCTAACTGGTCAGAGATGAGTGATAATAAATGACTAGTGGTAAGATACTGAGTGTTGGGGTAGTTTACTATGTAGCAATAGCTAATGGCTGCAATGGGCCTACTAAAGCTTTAGATGTGAGAAATTAACACAGATCACCACGTGTTATTACCTAGCAATCCAACAGAAGTAGTAGTGATAAGATGGTGGTGATAACATTAAAGTGATAAGAGCTAACACGTCTTTAAACACTCACATGTGCCAAGCACTTACTTTCAAGGTCTTGACTCATTTAATATCAGTATTAGGCACCCTTTTATAAATAGAACAGTTTTAGAAACAAAATGATTTAGAGATAGCATAGAGCTTTTAAATACGGCATACCTAGTTGCCCTTCATAATGTTTTACATTAGCATGTTGCATTCATCACAATTAATGAGCCAATACTGACATTTTATTATTAACTAAAGTCTACAATTTACTCAGGTTCTCTTTTTTCCCTAAATCTTTTTATTTTTTAAAAGATTTATTTATTTATGCATATAGAACTGGGGTACAGGCCAGAGGTGCAGGGGCAGTGAGAGGATTCACTAGAGACAAAGTGGGGAGCAGAGCAGGCAGGTCCACTAAAATACACTGCTTAAGGGAAGAAGTAGGCAGGTCAGGGGAGGTCTGCTGTGCCATGTGGGTCAGCTCCCTGGGCAGGGAACAAACTTGTGCTGAAGTGGCTGTGGCTAGTTTTACAGTGCTGCGTTCTAACCCATTGCGCCACCAGGGAGGGCCCCGTAAGTCCTTTTTAATTTCCAGGATCCCATCTACCACATTGCATATCATCATCCTATCTCTTTGGCTCCTTCTCCACCCTTCAATTATACACATACACATAGGTAACATTTTTATTAGGATATATTCACATACCATAAAATTCACTCTTGTAAAGTATGTAATTCAGTAGCTCCTACTTGCAGATTAGTCTGTTTTAGAAGGTTTTCATCATGTTAAAGGAGAAACTCTGTACCCTGTAGCCGAAACCCTTCCCCACCTCTAGGCAACTACTCATCCACATTCTGTCTCTGTAAATTGACTTATTCTGGACATACCATATGAAGAAACCATATACTCTGTGACCTTTGTACTGGCTTCTTTCACCGGTGCTTTTAAGGTTCACCCTGCTGTAGCATGTTTTAGTACGTCATTACTTTTTATGGATGTTGTATGCATATACCACATTTTGTTTACCCATTCTTCAAGAGTCAGGTATTTGTGCTGCTCCCATCTCTGGGCTTTTAGGAACAAAGCTACTCTGAACTTTTATGTGCAAGTTTATTTGGGGACACCCATTTTCATTTCTCTTCCTTATATAACAAGGAATAAAATTGCTGGGTCAAGGGGTAACTGCTTTATCTTTTCAAGGAACTGCCAAACTCCTTTCCAAAGGAGCCGTATCATTTTACATTCCTATTTAGCCCCCTTTTTACAGATAAGGACTTGAAGCCCAGAGGGATTAAGTAATTTGCCAAAGTTCACATAGCTGAGAAGTGGGGAACTGAGCAGCATACCCAGCCAATCCACTCCAGGGCCCACGATCTCGAAGCCTATACTGCCCAGTGACATTCTGACTCTCACCATGTGTACATCTCACCCTCGTGCAAGGGGCCTAACTCTCTCCACCCCTTTTCTTGAGGTCCCACTCCAGTTTTGGACCCCATGAATTAGTGGAAATGTGGAGAAAACATCAAATCACAGACGGGAAATAAAAGTATTGCAAAAAAGTGTTTGATGAAGAAACATTAAATACCCTAGTTTTTTTAGTTTAATGAGAGGGCAGAGGTGTCTCTGATAGTAATCAAGCATATAGAAGGCTGATGCAATGCAAACTCACATATGAGTCATTCCTTACTTACTTGATTGAGAGGAAATGAGGTTTACTCTATAGGATGATAAGTAAATATAAAGACCTCATCATTATGAGACACAAACTCTATACAGAAATTTGGGAAACAGTCCACAATAATTGTTTCCATGGCTTATATTGAGGCCTAGTCAGGAGGCAGGAAGATGGACATAATGACCATATATCTATGACATGATATAATCTTTGGCACACAGAACCACAGTTCCTTAGCTGGAACTAACTTACCCTGAATTGCAGACAGATATACAAAGCTGTCTTCATGCTCCAAGTTCTCCAAGAATATCTACAACCACAAAATACAGCAGTGATATGAGTCACAAAGAACAAGCAATATTTAAAAGACCCTTCTGGGAAACTAAAAAAAAAATGTGTTTTTTTTGTTGTTGTTCATTTTGGCTAGTCATTGGTCAGACTTTAGATCTCACGGGGGTAAAAACCATATGTAGGTTTGACCCCATTTTCGTAAGAGTTTTAAAAGGACTGTCCTGAGGTTTAGATATTTCTTACGTAGTCTAAGTATATACTAAAAGTAGGCATGGAGAATCAGAACCTGGAGGAACAATCCTCCATGCATATTCCACTACAGCCTCTCATGGACGACACTGTCTCGCATGACAGGACAGACTCCAGGTTGTGACACCTGAGGATGGTTTTGGGTTGGTTATGTGCAATTGATTGTAATATGATCCTTTTCTCTTGTACTCAGAAAGAATTTGAAAGTCCAAGTGAGAGATACAGTGGGTCTTGTCATGAATCTCTCTACTGTTGATTTATTTCTGAATAAACTTTATTACTTGTTAGAATAATTGACTGCTTTTGTTTGAGGTTAACAAAGGGAGGGAGGGCCTCCCTGGTGATGCAAAGGGTTAAGTCTCAGCATTATGAAACTATCCGAAGCCACTGCAGCACAGTTTGTCCCTGGCCAGAGAGCTGACCCACATGGCGTAGTACGACTCTCCTGTCACACTTACTGCTCCCCTCAGCAGTGTACTTCGTCCATCTGCCTGTTCTGCTCCCCACTCTGTCTCTGGTGAATCCTCTCACTCCCCACACCTCTGGCCTGCATCCCAGTTATCAGAAGCAAAAATAAATAAATCTTAAAAAAAAAAAGGGAGGAAAACTGGCTCAATAACAGTAATTATTATTATATACAATTATTATATTATTATATTAAACTTACTGGTTTTAATACTTTAGTGACTAAAAATATGTATTTTCAATCAGAATTACAATTCTTAGTCTAATGGTCAAAGCACATGGAAGAGACAATAGTAATAGCAATAGCAAGTAGTCTCCTACATCTCGTATGTTTATCACTATAATTAGTGCTTTATATGAATTGTTTTATTTTAAATCTTTCAACATAAAGTGGCTCCTATTATCCTCACTATACAACAGTAGATATTGAGGTGCAGAAAATGTAAAGGGCCTTGTCCAGGACTCTGGTTTGGGATTTGATCCGTAATCTCGTGATCACTTGGATCTTACTTCCTAACCCACAGTGACATCAGGACCATCTCCACAAAGGGAAAAGAGCCCCAGGGAGCATATACTTTCTCTCAAACGCATGTACAACATAAAGAACAGCTTCCACACTGTGATGGCAGGACAAGAGGAGAAGAGACCCAGTTCTGTCCGGCATCCCTTGAGGAAGAATACAAAACAGAGCATCTATCTGGATTGGGTCACAGTGTTGAAAGTGGATCTGTTTATATCACAAGAGGATGTTTTCACTTCTGGCAATTTGTTCATGCTAATGCATCTCCTGTTCCTTGTCAAATGTGATAAGCTGGTGAAGGCCATGTCCAGATCTACTTCCTTCAGATTTCAACTCTCTTCCTTTCCTGCCTGCCTATGCCATTTCTTCCTGTAGCTGGTACTCCGTTCCATTGAGTATTCTAATGAGCTTATCTAAGACTTTCCTAACTTGGTGTCTTGTCTCCTCAGAACACTGACCATTTTCCTGAGGGTGATCCAGACCCCAGGAAAGCTGCACCCCTGCCTACATGCACATGTTCTGTAGTGTGCTCCACTCACCTGGAGAAGTTTCTCTTGCATCTCAAGGGCTGTTGCTTCTCTCTGCTCTATCCAGCGGGAAAGAGTTCGCAAAGCGGCAGCCCGGGTAGGAATTTGGGGATCATAAGCTGCTAAAAGAACTGCCTGGAGCTCCTCTGTGGTTGTGCTCCCAGGCTTCTGGTTGGTGGGAGGCCTGGCTTCATTGGCTTCCTGAGGAATGAGTGTGGCGTTAGACTTCAGGCCAGCCTGGCTGCATTTCTCATGGCTTTGCCGTTGTTCAAGGTGGTGAGAAAACTGGTCAGTGTCTCTCTCATAACTGCTTTGTTGCTGTTCTATTTTGCTTTCTGGATCCTTTTTATTCAGGGTACTTTGGGCAGCCACACTGACAGCCTCGCTGGAAAAGGCCCCGTGGGTAGAGATGGTGATGCGGAGATCAGCAGCAAGTTCTTGGATGACAGGGTCAGGATACATGTCGGAGACTTTTCCTAACAGAGGCAGCAGCCGCTTCAGAACAGCAAAATCACTCGACTTCAGCTACAAAATGAAATGGAGAGTGCCACAGTCAAACAAACACCGCAGAGGCTATAAGGAATCATATTCTTTTTTAAAATGTTTATATCATTGTTCACTTTTGTACAATGTTTGATTTCTCCTCTCAGGTGTTGTCCCCATAAAATTAACACCACCAAGACACCCGTGAACTGTCACCAGACTTGTGCTCGTCCCTCCCATTTTGACCCTTCTCCCTCTTCTTCCCCTGCTGAATGTTTCTGATTTATAGTTTGCCTGCTAGTTTTTTCTTTTTCTTTCTTTTTTTTTTCTGACCCCTTGTATGGTTTCTCTATGGTCCTCCTATAAGTGAAACCATCCAATAGTTTTCTTTTAAGGAAACATATTCTGAATAAAATGGATGGAGAGCAAATATTACTAGTGGGGGTAATCAGCATATAGACTGAGTCATCACTCAATAACAACTGTTGAATAATTACAGCCAATATTTATTGAGTATTTACCACATACAGGTACTTTGATAAAAATACATATATAGATCAGTGATGCATATTATTGCTCTTAATTTTTACAACCTAGTGGACAAAATATGGTATCTTAAGCTTTTATTGTTTTAGGCAAAGAAAGAGCAATATTAATTATCCTTTCATATTTATTAGCTGTCTGCATTTCTTTCACTGTGATCTGCCTATTTATCTTGATAGCTACTGTTACTGGTATACAGTAAAATTCTTTTCTAAATTATTGTATTTTGAGTTTTATTGTATCTTTTTATTGGATTACTTATTCTTTTGACATAAGCAAATGAACTAATACTAATACTAATATATGTCAGGTACTTCGTGCCTGACATATAATAAGTGCAACACAAATGTTTGAAAAATAAACAAAAACAAAACAGATACATATTCCTAACATCTCATTACTATATTTACCTACATTTTAATCAGGTGGAAAATTAGTGAACAGAACAGTTAACTAACAAATCCAAGGTCACAAAGATGATGCCAAGACAGTAAAATGTGAGCTCAAAAAATCTCACTCTGGAGTTCACAGTCCTAGTCCAAATCTGACATGGTCTCACTTGGTTGAATGAAACTGTTAATAACATGCTCTAAAGTGGTTGATCAGCAAACAGGGGATCGCATAGGTATGGAAAGGATTAGAATGAATCACTGGCAAAAAGAAATTTCTTAGAAAGTTGGAGTAAAAATTACATTAGGTTTTATTCTCTCGGGAAGTTTTGTTCTCATAATGCCTTATGAGAGGCAGGTGTGCAATCAGGGAAGAAACAAGAATAGTGATAACACTTTTCATTTGAAAAGATTAGGGAAATTATTATGAGTCTGCATGAGGTCCTGATAATCTGAAAGCCTTGTGGCCTTAAATCCTTTCTTGAACAAGGCATGTTTTGTTTGTTTTTTTTTAAACTTTATTTTTATTTTCATACATTGTTGTTCATTTTTGTACCTTATTTGATTTCTCCCCTAAGGTGCAGTCTCCATAATTCCACACACACGCACGCGTGCACACACATACACACACACATCATCCGTGACTGTCACTGTCACCATAGCCCCTTGTTCTCTTCCCTCCTCGTTTTAACCCCTCCCTTCCCCCCATCAAGGCAGGATTTTTACTTATCCATCCAACCAATCAATTAACCCACTAACTTTCATAGAATCTATATTATCGATACAAATTTTATACTATATGTGCAAAAAGATGTTATTGTTCACTCTCCCAAGTAAATGAAAACTGAGGTCAATTTCAGGCTTGTGCGGTGAAATTTCACTAGACACTTATCCAGACTTCTAGGTTCAAACAATTAAACAATTAATGTGAAACTCATATAAAGTAGAATTTATAGCTCTATAATATGAAGCCTATTATTCATATAAAGCAACTGATCATTCTGATATTACTACAGCTTAAGGTAAGAGGACAATATAAAAGCAAAGATGTGCATTATTTTAAAAAAACAAAGGTAAATTTTTTCCTGTGGACTACGTAGAACTGGAAGAGATTTTAGAATAATTTTGTTAAATGATTATTATGCCAAACTTCATTCAGCATCTCTGCAATATCATGTACCTTTGTTTTGTCTTTAAGCATTTAAAATGGTAACTTACATTATAACAATCTTTTCAACTTCTATTATACATAACAATTTTCTTAAAGATTTATTTATTTATGTATATAAGAACTGGGGTGTAGGCTAGAGATGTGGGGGTGGAGGGTGGCAATGACAGGATTCTCTAGAGACAGAGTGGGGAGCAGAACAGGCAGATGTACTGAAATATGTTGCTGAGGTGAGCAGTGAGCAAAACAGGAGAGGTCTGCTGCACCTTGTGGGTCAGCTCCCTGGCCAGGGATTGAACTCATGTTGCAGTGGCTGTAATAGAGCTGCGTCTTTAACCCCTGCACCATCAGGGAGACCTGCATATAACAATTTCTTCTTAAAACAAGACAAACAGATCAATAGGATAGAGTACAGAGAACAGAAATAGATTCACATAAATATAGTAACTTATTTATAACTAAAAAGAGAGGTAATACAATAGAAAAAAGACAGACTTTCAACAAATAGTGCTGAAATAAGAGGACATTCACATGCAAAAAGACATGATCTTAAACAGTCACGAACACTAACTCAAAATGGATCATAGAAGAAAGGATCAAAGACTCAATGTAAAATTCAAAACTATAAAATTCCTAGAAGATAACAGACAAGAAAAATCTAGATGACCTTGGGTAGGGTGATGACTTTTTTGGACACAATACCAAAGAAAAGATATCCATGAAATTTATCAATAAGCTGAATTTCATTAAAATTAAAAACTTCTGCTTTGTAATGAAAAAGCAAAAGACAAGCCACAGAATAAGAAAATATTTTCAAGAGACATATCTGATAAAGGACAGTTGTCCAAAATATACAAAAAAAACTCTTAAAACTCAACAATAAGAAAATAAACAACTTGATTTAAAAATAGGCAAAAGATCTAAACAGGTACCTCACCAAAGAAAATATACAGATATACACAGTATGTAAAGACATTCTCAATGACATCTGGTGAGGGAACTGCAAATTAAAACTGTGAAATACAACTACACATTTACTATGACGACTAACATCTAAAACACTGATACCACCAAATGCTGGTAAAAATGTGGAGCAACAGGAACTCTCATTCAGTGCTGGATGGAATGCAAAGTGTACACCCATTTGCATTACATTTTGGCAATTTGCTACAAAACTAAACATATTCTTACTGTATGATTCAACAATTGCACTCCTTGGTATTTACCCAAATCAGTCCAAACAAGAGCCTACTCATAGGTGCTGAAAGCAGCTTTATTCGTAGTTACCCAAACTTAGAAGGAACCAGTAAGTTCTTCAATAGGTGAATGAAGAAACAAATTACGGTACATTCAGATAATGGAATGTTATTCATTGCTAAAAAGAAAGTGTTAGGGCCTCCCTGGTGGTACAAGGGTAAGTCTCAGCACTATCAAGCTATCAGCAGCCACTGCAACACAGTTGGATCCCCAGCCAGGGAGCTGCCTCACATGGCGCAGCAGACCTCTCCTGTCTTGCCTGCTGCTCCCCTCAGCAGTGTACTTTGTCAATCTGCCTGTTCTGCTCCCCACTCTGTCTCTGGTGAA